AGAAGCGCAATGGTTTTTAGTCATGTAACACTATTGTAAATAAAACATGTAAAGTACTAAAAAAAAAATCATAAAAAACGTTTTAATAACAAGCTTTTATGTAATGATGCACTAAAAAGTAGAAAATAAATTATACACTAATATTTAAATTACTATAAAGAAAAGCGTGGGTCTCTTCTCAAATATTAGTAAAGGTATCCAATAGGTACTAAAGTGACCCACGCTTTTCTTTTAGTAATTTAAATAGTAGTGTATAATTTATTTTCTACTTTTTAGTGCATCATTACATAAAAGCTTGTTATTAAAACGTTTTTTATGAATTTTTTTTAGGTTTTTGTAATTTAAATATTCTGCGCTGCGTTCATCGCCAGAGCAATTTAGTGTCTTATTTATCGACTTGCATTTACCTATTTACTGTTTAATTATTTTTCTGAAATAGAAACAGTGCTTAGGATATAATAAAATAAGCTAGATAGCTGGTTCCAAATATTTTCAAATTTTTGTTGCCAGAAAACATAATTTTCAACCGAAATTGAATATTTTATAACACTTGTGAAATAAAAACCAAAATGAGTTCCGGTTTTGTTAAGGCTCAATATATTCAAACAATTAATAATTACTAATATAATAATAGTAATTTAAAAGACACTTTTATTTCTTTCTCATATACAGAGTATAGCGCAGTGGTTTCCAAACTATTTCGAGTGGCGACCCCCTTTTATAAAAAGTAGGTGACCCGCGACCCCCATAGAATCAAAAAGTCGAAATTAGTGAGGAAATAAATTAATAAGCACTAAAATACGATTTTATTTTCTAGTAGACTTTCAATATAAATTATTCTTGATAACTGTTTTAATGTGATGGGTGAAATTGAATGCTATTCACTAGCCTCAATATTCGCGGTTGAGTTTTGTTAACGCCAACCTCATGTCATTCTGGGCATTTAATTTATTTATTTGTTTTGGTTTTTAATTGGAGAAGACACAAAAGGAAATAAAACTTAAAGGCAATCTATTTCACGCTTGGGTATGAACGGTGCATACTGCGCCAAAAAAATGTTGAGCAGTTTTTCATTATAACACGATACGTGACGCGAAATCATTTCGCAAATTTAAGAATTCATCTTGTAATTCATCGGAAATGCTGGCAACAGCAAGGGAAACAGAAAATGGGTTACGTGTCAATGCAGATTCTTCTTCTTTCAGTTCATGGAAAATAACGCCGCAGTTCTTTTACAAGAGATTTAAGATGCCCAGAATCTTTTTTCAATATTTTATTTATCTCACCATCAGTTAAATGTACCACAGTGTAGAGTTTCTCAAACATGGCAATGTTTCCAACATTTATTTTTCTTTGCCATTTTTGCATCTTTGAAAAAAGCAAAGATAATATCATGAAAAGAGATATTTGTTCATTTTCATGTTAAGCTAATGTTGCTGTTCAAATATATCTGCTAGGTATGATACTCTTTCCAACCACTCTTTGTCGTTAAAGTATATCAAATGGTCTTGTTTGAAATCAAGTTGTTCCAAGTACAACTTGATTTCAACTTTCAATTCAAAAACACTATTTACTTTTCCTATTGACAGCCAGCGTACTGTAGTGTAGAACCTTGTGATCTTTATTCATGTCTTTGCACAGTTCTTGAAACAGACAAATGTTTAATATTTAATATAATTTACTTATATTAGCAATGGAGTCGGTAGAGTCTTGCTGACGAGGGCATATCCGTGAATCATGCAGTGGATCCCCCTTCATAAGGGAGCTATATCTTTTACTTTATTTTTTGAAAGCCCGATTTTGACCTAGTCTTGATGAACCATCAGTACAAACCTCACAGTCGTTTTTCCATTTTAATCATCCAATTTCAAAAAACGTATTTATTTCTCCATGATATCTTCACAAAATATCAACTCTTCTTTGCTATCATCTGAAAGAATATATTTCACAAACACAAATAACTGGTAACACGAAATCATGTCTGTTGATTCAACAACTTGAAAATCAAACAATGGCGAAAGGTTGATTTAATTCAAAATTAGGTTTTTAACATTTACGGACATGTCTTCTATATGCCGCTGAATAGTATTATTAGACAGAGATATTTGCTGCAACTTTAAGGTAATGGAATTTTTAGTAAAAATTGTAAATCTCTGCCTTTTGTCAACTTTTGAATAATTTCCGTTTACCGGAAGTAGTACTTTACGATATTTCCGATTTCTCAAAAACACATAAAAAGTACTAATATTCCGCACTATTATGTACACATTGTTTGCTATTCACTTTTGTTTCCGTTTTTTTTTTTTTGCTACGAGATTCTATTCTATTTTTACAAGCTTTTCTTTATAGCTATTTGAATAGTAGAATGTCATTTCTTTTCTACTTTTTAGTGCATTATAACATAAAAGCTTGTTATTAAACGATTTTATGAATTTTTTTTTAATGTTTAATGTCATTAAAATTCATTAAAAATCATGTGTTAATTGCCATCATCCATTGGACACCAGCGAGAAAAGTCTCAAAGGTATTTGAGAGGTCCATAAATTAATTTAAAAATCTTGCACGGCGAAGTTACAATTAATATGGTTATAAAATCCTGTCTGTCTGTTTTTTTTTTCGGACTTTACTAAAGATTGGATGTATTTGATGTTTTTAATATTTTTGGTAACTAAATAAAAATTTTAAAAAAAAGCAAAAACAATTTGGTTTTTACGTGTAATGGCGACATAAACAATGGCATCCTGCTATTCGATAGGCCGCCATAAATTTTATTGTACACATTGTAAGCTAAAAATAGAAAAAACTAGGTCATGGTGTTTAAATTTGCATTGTTATTTAAAAACTTGATCTGCAAAGTTTTGTAAACAAAATAACTATAAAGTGGGGCTGTCAGAAATCGATCACGGAGTTCCTTTACAGCCAATCAATGTTTGTCTTACGAAAGTGAAACATCGGGTTATAACTTAGGCTTGATGAAAATAAATAGAAATATAGCCTTAAACTCAACCAATTATTTTTAAGTTCTCTGGATCTGCAACTTGTATAGCATCAATTCTAAAAATATTTAATTTCTGAATTAATTTTAGGCTTACGTTTTTAATAAAATTTTATCTTTTATTATTTTTATGGTCCTAAATCTAAAAAAGCACATTTTTATTCCATGTCAACAACATTACGGAAGGATTTTCGTCAACTCACTGGTGTCAATTGCCGTCACCAGTAGTGCTATATAAGAAACACGATAACTTACCGTTACAGCTAGGTTGATGAAATTTCATTTATAAGTATTATATCAAAATCGTAGACACGTATTAACTTTTGAGCGATTTCCGATAAACGGAAGTGGAACATTTTCTACTTTGAATTTTTCAAAACCCTATAACTTGAGTATAATTTCAGATAGATAAATGAAATTTCACACGTAAGTAAAATATCTAATTCTCTGCCTTCTATCAAATTTTGAGTAATTTCCGTCGACCGGAAGTAATAATTTACGCTAATTCCGATTTCTCAAAAAACGCATGTGAATTTATAAAGTACTAATAATATCCCGCACTATTATGCACATTTTATTTGGCGTTCACTTGGTGTGCAATTCTTTTTTTTACGAGATTCTATTCTATTATAAAAAGTTTAAGTAATTAAAAATGGATTACAAATACGATCTATGTCCTGAGTTGCCACCCCCGTAGTGTTATGTTAGAATATTTTAGAAAGTTTTGGGGAGATCACTCCCGATTTATTTTTTATCGCTTCAAATATTTTCTAAAAAAAAATTTAATTTAAAATTTTTAAAATGCTCCTATATTTTATTTTTTTATTAAAAACCCAAACAAAGCTGTATTGTTTACTAATTATAATTTTTTAATCACTACTTATGGCCCCATCTCCGCCATTATGGTCCTTTGTAATATAAATATGGTACAAAGCAAATGTAAATCGTGTATTTAATTAACTATTTAGTATTTATGTATCCGTCTAAAATAAAAATGGGGCTGAGACATTAATAAATTAGATAATTTAACAATTAAAAATGATCGTATAATAATCAAAACAGATTTTACTATTGGTTTTTAATTCTTTATTTTAAGCTTCAATGTATTTAGTTACTTATTTTATTACTACTTTTGGTCATCTTGATAAAGATTAACCTTAACAACCTCTTAATTACACCTGGGCAGTAGCGTAGCGAGGGGGGGCGGGGGGGACATATGTCCCCGGGCGCTGACCTTAGGGGGGGCGCCAAATTGAAAGTTTGAGGGGGGGGGGGGGGTGCAAATGAAAAGTTCGAGGGGGGGGGGGTGAAAATCGAAAGTTTGAGGGGGGGTGCAAATGAAAAGTTTGAGGTGGGGGTGCAAATCGAAAATTTGCTCCCAAGGGGGCGCCAAATTGAAAGTATGTCCCCGGGCGCCGGGAAGGGTCGCTACGCCTCTGCACCTGGGCTTTCCCAGCCCACTACCCCTTTTCATTACCTCATCAAATCCGTTAGTCACAGTACATAACCCCCAGCATAATATAACCCCAGTCCAAACTACTGCAGTAGGTCATTAGGTTAGGTTAGATATGCCTGTCGCATAGGCCGCTGACAAGAGCTTTCCAGGCGTCTCTGTCCTGGGTTAGTCTCTCCAACTGTCCCCATGTGTATCCAATAAATCCTCCATCGTTCATTTGGGTAAAGAGATAAGTAATAATTGGTAGAATTCGATACGTAATTATATAAGGGAATCGATAGGGATAATGGTATAGAAAATGAAATGGTATTTTGACAGAAATAAGGAAACCGATTGCGTTATAATAGAGAGCGATAGAGATAAAGAAAAGAACAGGGATAGTTACAGGAAAAGGTAAGGTATATTTTAAGGTATGAAAACTTCCCAAAACCCGTGCGGCGCCGTGTATATGCTACTAGTAGTTACTAAATTAAGGAATAAGGGAATTCTCGCACCATTTTGCACTTTAAAAATTAGTGTTAATCCTGATGGCTCTAAAAATTTACCGGCACATTTTCTACACTGACAAACAACTATGAAATCTATACTGAGATATCAGGAAACAATGGGGCAAATAAGTTAAATAAGTTTTAAACAAGCAAACGCTGATAGATAGGCTTATAGTCTATTCTTGTAAGTGTATGTATTCCAGATATAAAAAAGAGAGTTAACTCAACATTACATAGATATACATTCAGATCGAGATCTAGATTCTAGATCTAGATTTCTAGATCTAGATCTATCTAGATCTAAACTAAGTTGATTTTGAAATTTAGAATTTAGGTAGATTCTTGATCTAAATCTTTGGTAAGTGGTAAACTTTCTGCGGGGAATATTCAATATTATAGTCTTTCTCTCGTCATGGTAGTCGCACTAGGTTTAGGGCAGTGTCTTTCAGGCATCTCTTTGGAGCATGTAAAAAGCCCGTTCATGACAAAATAGAACAAAATAAGGAAATCACCCAAATATAGCGTTGATTATTAATTGGGAATTGTATAGCAGTAAAAAAAAACAGTACTTCCACTGGAAGTACTGTAAAACATACTTTATTTGGCGCCATCTTTAATTTTCAATACAGAACGTTCAAAAATTTGGATAGATTGATTTTTTTTGCATTTTAAATACTGATTTACCAATCATTTTGTATTGCTCATAATTATTTGATCTGACTAATGGATGAATAAGGCAGATTACTGAACGGCATATAAAATCACATACTAAAAGAAGACAATTTTATCTAGAACATCGACAGATTTCTCAATCGATTTACATAAAAGTGTAGGCTAAAGTTATCAAAGTGGTTGTTAGAAGTATCGAAACTAATATAAAATCAAAAACATATTCAATTTAAAAGAAAACTTACAATGTGCGCGAATAAATAGGGTGGGATTAAAACAATGTGACGTCAAACTGCCTAGACCTCCCCCCCCCCCTTTTCCGTTCACATACAATATCACATTTAAACACGCCCCCCCCCCCCCCCCCCCCAAACGTGTGACGTTCTTTATGGATGATCTTTCAAAATAAAGTATATTTTCGGTTTAGTTTTGTTTGATAATTGTAGAATTAAGAGTAAGACAATTTATAGCCCGAAAAGAAACATTAATCCCATTAGTACCAATTTCCATTGAAAATTAAGCATCGATCTCTCTATACACCTTCATAAGTAAATCTTATCTGTTTTTAACATAAAAGAATTTCTTTGTTTAGCTTTTTTTTTAAAGTGTGTTATAATTAAATATGTATTAAACAAAACTTTAATACAAAATGTCCACAAGCCTAACATTCCTCAGGAATACGTGTGGTTGATCCTTGCTATCAGCAGTAAATTGGGATGAAACCTTAAATATATTGTATCTCTGGGTGTACTCATTTACACTCGTTCGATAATTTTGTAAACGTAACATGAAAGTCAATTGAGAATTTATAATATTATTGAACATTTGCAGGTCTAAAAAACAAACTCTACAACTATTTTAAATCTGAGTTTCTCGCTTCATGAAGGAAGAAAATACTTATTAAAAAGACGGCTGGTAAAGCATTAAAGGATGCACCAAGTTATCTCATTTTCCATACTGCTGTTTTCTGTTATTAGTTTAACAGGTAGGTTTATTAATAATAATTTGTTTAAGATAGGAGTATCTCTTAAAATGTATCCAAATCTAAATCTTTATTTGTCTGGACATAAAAAGGTGCAGTAATCAACAAACGAAAGGGATTTTCAACTGATGGTAAATTTGGCTAGGTTCAGCTAGCATTTTGTTTCATTGTATTCCGTTTATAGATTTAAAGCGTTTATGATTCGAAATTAATACTGTATTTGCGATTCCATGTATAGATCTTTTGTTTAAAATGAGAATAAGCGCATCAGTTATGTGTAGTTAACACTGAATGTGTCACAGAACACATAGCGAAATTGTAAAAAAAGACGACTTTTTTTTCATTGTCTGAAAATCATTTCAATATGTTTCTGAGTCTACTGTAAGACCGTATTCAAGTTATTTGGGCTGGTATCTCTATCTGTACCTGGCCCTAATCTTAAGTCTAGTCATAACTATAGCACAATTTTGCTCTAAGCTTGAACCTTAACATTTACATTAACTACAAGATAACATAGAAATAAATTTGATTTAAGTGCAGCCATGTTCTAGAATGATACGCATTACACATACCTAGAACAAATTAAGTTCTAACTCAGAATAAAATCTTTCCTGTAAACTTGTACTTTTAAACGATTTTTAAAAAAATGAATATTAATTATTTTTTTCAGAAGCCGTAAACGGCAAAAATGTATTCAATTTGACCATTGAAGGATATGAAAAAGATTGTGTGAACTATAGTTGCCGCTACACTGGCAAAGTGTTGGCAAGTTTTTCTTCTACACCTGAAATTACAAAATTTGGATATGAAGATTGCATGGAAGTAACGATATATTCATGTCCTCAGGGCAAGGATTGTGGCGATAACTCTTGGGAACGGGTATGTTTGCATTAAAAAAAATTATTAGGCTGATTTTTAAAAACATCAAATAATTGAGTTTCCTCCCATTTAGAACTACCGTGTAACCACTTGCGACGCTAGGTTTGGTGCCACCCGGTGCGGCACATCATTATGTCATCCCCATAACCCCCCCCCCCCCACCCCCCCCCCCCCACCCATCCCGAAAAACATTACATATAAGGTCTACATAGGCATATATAATTATATTGTTGCAATTCGTGTGTGTCCCCCTCCCTTTATGCCTAATGGCATCAATTTGTGCGCGCAAAATATTTATCCACCCATTAATTCATGTGGAAAAAGCATCATTTTCATCTTAAATTATTCGATGTTGGTGTTACCCCCTCCACGGTCGTTGATTGTTTTTTATTTTAATTTCTGAGTGTAACATTTAACTAAATAACAACATGTGTATTACTAATTGTTCCAGTTTCTTTAACGCAAATAAACCGGGAGTGATCTACCCTAAATTTTCTCGAATATTCTTATATAACACTACGGGGGATGGCAACTCGTGATATAGACATGATTTTTAATCTATTTTTAATTACTTAAACTTTTTAAAATAGAATAGAAAGTTGTAGAAAAATATTATCAGTACTTTATACATTTACATGAGTTTTTTTTTTTGAGAAATCGGAAATAGCGTAAATTACTACTTCCGGTCAACGGAAATAACTCAAAATTTAAAAGAAGTAAGAAAATTAGATATTTTACTTACAAGTGAAATTTCATTAATCTATCTGAAATGTACTAAAGCTATAGGCTTTTGAAAAATTCAAAGTAGAATAAGTTCCACTTCCGTTTTCTGGAAATCGCTGAAAAGTTTATACAGAACTACAAATTTGATATAATACTTATATATGAAATTTCATCAACCTAGCTCAGGGGTCGGCAACCTTTTGAAGCGGAAGAGCCAAAAGTTACAATTTTCAAAATTTCCCTGGTTTTAAAGAGCCACAAACATTTTTTTTGTTCCAAATATTTTTTTTTAATTAAGATTGTTCGTATTTGTTCAAGGAGCTGGAGAGCCGCATCTTGATATCAAAGGAGCCGCATGCGGCTCGCGAACCGCAGATTGCCGACTCCTGACCTAGCTGTAACGATACTCAAGTTATCGTGTTCACAGACACACATACACACACACACGCACACACACACATACATACACAGACTTACAGACAAGATTGCAAAACTATTGTTTCCGACTCAGGGAGGTGTAAAACGTCGAGATTTGCAAAAATCTCGCCTTTTTTTGCACGATTATAATACTTTCTTTATACTTCGTATACGAGAAAGTAAAAACGTTTATTGCTTGTACTTTTTTCTCCAAGACTAATATTTGCTTTGCTAAATTAACAGACTAGCATTTGGGAAAGTAAAATATTATTACGCAGACAAAACTATTGAACTCTACTCATAAAACTGACCCTTTGTCAATGTTGATAATTATAATTACTAGATCGATATTGTTGTCAAAACTTGAGATATTTTGTTTCAATTAAAATAGGTAGCTGTCTGCACATTTTTTATTTGTATTTTGCCCTAAGTACGCCTGGTGTTTTTAAACTGACTTCACAATTTCCATTTTCCTGAAATCTATTCATCATTGTAAAATGTGATATTTATTTATTTTTTCAGTATTGCTTCGTGTTCGACTATCCTTGTGGAGCATTCAAATGCCGTAAAGTAAAGCATCCATGCTATTGTACTTATGGAAATCCTACAAAAATTAAGTTCTTCCCTGTGCATGAAAACAGATTGTACCAGATGAAGTTAAGGTTTTTGTTTGATGCTTACAGGGACATACCCATGCTTATTGCTTCAGGCAACATCTTCGATTTCTCCAAGAAACCAGGCAAAGTTATTTCATAATATTGTTCTAAGTTAATTCAACAGTTGATATCTCACTTTTTATTTAGTTAGCTGTGACCATCCGTGCTATAAAACGCTAAGTTAGGCATCGTCCATTAATGGCGCCCACTAGGGGGCTGGATGTATCGAGCCGCAAGAAGTAAAATTTTATGTATGTGTGAGAGCTGGGGGGGGGGGTACGAAATGGAGTTTTTTTTTAAAAACTACGCTATAGCAACATAGTGCGAACTTAATCCATTTATTTCAAAACAAATTAAATTTTCTGAGGTATATTAAGATAAAATCCAGTAATATTTAAAATTTTATTATAATTGATCTTTATGCCAGGTAAAATAGGACAATTAACTAAATTATATACATTATATATATATATATATATATATATATATATATATATATATATATATATATATATATATATATATATATCCTATTTATATATAAGCAACCTTTCTTTTTATTTCGATCAGTCGGTGCTATTTCTAGGAAAACGTCCTTAAATATGTATACGAAGACTGTATAACACTGACTGTATAAAGAAATAATACAAACCGAGAAAAAATGTTTAAATGTTTCATGCAATTGCTCTATATTCCACCAACAGATAATTGGGACCCAATTGAAAAATATCCAGATAAGCCATTTTATTACTATTCGAACAATGGAAAACATCAGCTCAAAGCAGGTATGAACAACTTTATTGTTGCTGATTTCTAATATTAAAACTGTTTTCAGTAAAGTAAATCAAGACTAGCATGCATTTTCGTTTTAAGACAACAGCCAGATAAGAAACACATATGTAAAACTTTGACCTGACCTTGAACCTTTGAGGCCTATCATTCCTATCACATATTAGTTCGTGTAGGAAAAAGAAAGAAATCGTAACCGGCGAATGTTTTCGGCTTCATGTTTGATTTCGCATTGTTGATTGTAGGTTACAATATTAAATGTATAAACGACCGAACGAATTAGTTGCTTTGCTTAAGTGGGCATATAAAGAAGTAGAAATAAACGTTATGATTTGGTTTAACTAATTCCACTCCTCCTCCCCCCCCCCCAACATGAAGCATTAATTGGGTAATTACAATTGTTCAATATTGGTAAATTACAAGTAAACGAAATTTTAAGGGAATTCATGTGCTTAAGTATGTTAAGTAAGGAATGTTTATTTCAACTTTCTTTAGCTGATTAAGTTCTAAAACATGGTGATCACCGTAACCGAATACAGGGGTGGACTCAGTGGCGTAGCCAGGAAGTGGTCATGGGAGGGGTTAAAACATTTTTCCTTGTGTATAAAATCATATATATATATATATATATATATATATATATATATATATATATATATATATATATATATATATATATAGGGTAGGCTCCATGCGGAGATAAAGAATTATTTTAACATGTGGCTAACATTAGTTATTTAAATATTCCTTTATGTTATGATTGACGTTTCTTTAAATGTATTTTACAGAGTTAATCGTCATTTGCATCGGAGCTCTGTCTGCCTTCTACCTGGCCAAGTAGTTTGATAAATAAGATGGAATTTGATATGCAAGCCCTAAAGATCTAAGATTATAGGAAAAATGGATTTAAGCTCCGTTTTAAATATGTTTAGTATGTACTTTTAAAAAAATCAAACATCTAAATGTTAAAAGTTCGAAAACTATAAGAAGACATTGCAATAAAATTTTGAATTAAAAGTATATCTTTTTATGTAGTATAAACATAGTAACCGTTCACAAAAGTTTAGGAAATCTTTCGAAACTTAAAATAAACTGTTGCAAATAAAAGAACATTTTCTTTTTTTTTTTTTTTTTTTTTTGGTGTACTTTAGTATTGCAAAAAGTATTTTTTTTTCTTGCATGAACTGGATCTGTGCATTTTAGGGTCTGGGTAAAAATTACTCGTTAGTTAATGAAACACTGAAATGTTTGATATGAGGCTCTAGCAAATCAAAGATATGACACTGACAACGCTTAGAGTTTTTGCCAACACAAGAATCGGAGTTGAAAAATATTTGAAAGATTTTAATTAACATAGTAGTTTGTTTATTTAAACAGCTTACTCGTGAGAAACAAAACATAATTACAGGCCAACATATTGAGTATCAGATATCTTCGCTTTGCTCAACGCTATGTACTCAATTTACATTAACTGTAACTTAAATATTTCAGGTTCACGTTAGTAAATTGACATGAGATTTTTAAGACCAGGCTTTAACGAAATTCTGCTTTAGAAATATATATAATTAATTGCGTACATTAAGTCAGAATTTAATTAAAAACACCAATATTGTATGATAAAACAAATACTTACTGAAAGTGATTGTCACTTTGACAGATCTCGTGTCATCGTCCGGATCAAAGACAACGATGCAGTTTCCGCATTGGTGAAACCCCATATACTTCTGTGTGCTGACAAATATATAGTATTGTTCATGTGTGATGGAAACCTTTACCCTGTACAGTTTTTCAGGGAAAAATGGTGGCACATTCTGGAGGTCCAAGTCCGAAGTTTGATCCAATGTTTGATTATTTTTATTTGAAGCCTGAGGTAAACATACAGTATAAATAGGAAATTTGAAGAAACACAAACTATTAATTGTGTTTAAGATATGAAACTGTTCTAACTAATTACATATGTGAGTCAACCCAGCTCTAATGGGTACCTGACTCGCGATGGGGAAAGGGCGGATAAACATAGTGCTGACCTCAATATCCTTTCGTCTGCTTTGGTCAAAAAAGTGGAAAACTCTACTTCATATTTTGCCATATTTAAAAAAAAAACAATTTGATATTAAAAAAAGCTCTACACTTTTTACTTTGTATATGACGTCACACACCCAAATTCTTACTGTCCATGTTCTATCTAGAGGAGGGGGGGGGGGGTTAGTGGGCTTCCACAATTGATTTCAATTTCCACAAGGAGTGAGTGATTTTGTAAAATGTAGTACAGAAGTGGAGAGGGGAGGTTAAACACGTTTATTTGTAACATAGCGATAAAAATTATAAGCGACCATATCTTGACGCCGAGTTTTTAAATTCTCTGTACTAAAAATGCTCAAGATTAAACATGCTAGAAAAAGTTAATACTAATTAGTGGCTATATTAATAATATAGCCACTAATTAGTATTAACATTTTGTAAGAATAAATAAGGAATAACGAATAAATAAGGAATAATATTATTCTTCCTTATTTTTTCTAACAAAATTAAACATCTTGATAACTATTTTGAAAAAAAAATTCAATTTAAGAGAAAGTCCACCCATCTACTGTTTTATGGGGAGTTTAATCCATTGACCGTCTTTTTAAAGTTATGCCTCTGGCCCACCTAAACTGACAACGATAAATTGTCAAGCACCAAGTCTGAATTAGAAGGCTGTCAGTCTAAGTTTCTAACAAGACAAAAACGTAACTACCTTGTAATGAATTGGAAACACTGACGAGAAGCCGCGTTGGTTGTTAACAAGTCTTTATTTCAGCCATGATGGAAGAGAGAGAGCGGAAGTGACGAGAGACACAAATATATAAACATATAAGGGACATCACTCAAGATAATAGTATAAATATAATACTAATACAAGAAGAGTGAGTTCCCTTGACTTCACAAGTCTCACTATATTACATACCTTTTCTCAACTATGACGTAAACTGTGCAGTCGTTTCATGATCCTCTTTTCTAATTTGTAGATTTGACATTTGACATACTGTATGTTCACAAAATGTTTCATCACCTTGTGTTTGCTTTGTCTATTAAAAGCCTGATCTTCAACACATTAAAGTGTTGTGTGCAAATGTTTTTAGAAGTTGCTGGTAATCCAGGGAATATGGGAAGAGTGAGTTTGACTAACTGACAAGATCATTGGACGTCTTAATTGGATGCAGTGGTTGAAGCCATGTAGAGTTTGGCAATCTGTCGAGAATAGAAACGGTGGAACTGACGTGCACAGGTAGAAGTAAGAAATATCTTTGTCAACAGTGTGACAACAAGTGTTTAGACAAAGCAGCGTGGTGACATCTTTACAAGTTCAATAGACAAATCACATCTTATTGTCTCGATAGTCTGACCACATCACATGTACTCCTTACTTACACCAAACAGTATTATTCAACTTTATCCGAACTGTTACATCTTTATACAAATGACAGTCCAACTACATACTATACAGTATGGTCCAACATTATTAGAAGAGGTCCAACTTTATTGTAATCATAGTTGCCAAAAAATCAGCAACGGTATAAAGGTAATTCTTGGGAAGAGAAAAATCTGTATTTTATTGTTATTTTAAGCAGACTTGTTTAGGGTCCTTTTAATGCCGTATTCCTTCACTAAAAGTCGGATTATACATTTAGCTAGATGACACCTTCAGTTACATGACACCTCCAGCTTGGTGACACCTTAGTAAGCTATGTGACAACTTTAGCTAGATGACACCATCAGCTAGGTGACAACTTTAGCTAGGTGACAATTTCAACAAGGTGACACATTCAGATAGAAGACACCTTCAGCTAGATGACACCTTATGCTTGATGACACCTTTAGCTAAAACACTGCTATAATTTGGCAATGAGATCTGACTGTAGGACTATTTAGTTTTTGCAAAGCTTATGTGACGCCATGATATGCTTGATCTGATTGAAATAAGTTAAACAAATATATCAGTTATTAATAATTGTGATCTAGATCAGTTTTGTGCAACTAAAAGTTTGTTGAAGAATGAGGTCATGGTTGACGTGTGTAAAGAGACATGTGAATTTCTTTTAAAATATTGTATCAGCTAAGCAAACAGAAAACAAACTCAGTTGTGTTGCAAAAGAAAATTTCTATTTACAATATAAAAAATACGGTTAAAATCCTAACAAGAACATTGCAACAAATGAAACATTTTTACAATTCTAGTATCAAGCTAGACTTAAAATCCTTTTGTTTAAAATGTTCTTAAGAATTAAAATACCATTTAAAACCAAATAGAGTATGGTTTAAATTGAAATAACCAATAATATAATAACAAATCATCCAATTTTTTACATACAAAAAAATGGCTAAAATGAAATCAACTTTTTTTCTGTTTTTGAAGCCTACAGTAAGTTCTTTTGTATCAATATAAAGAATTGGTTAAGCAACACTAACTTGTTATTAATTTTTAAAACTGTACTATTTTGAACCACACAATAGTGAAAGTAAACCAACCTATATATAATGTTTTTGTCAAAAGTTCAACTGCCAATCATGTTTTAAATTTTTTAGTTTTAAATACTTAAAGCTTGTGTAAAAAATAACATCAGATACATAAAATATTCATTTAATAATTAGCAATTCAGTACCAGCATAATATTAACCTTTCATGCCACATCTTAAAATAAATTTAAATGATACTGAAATTAAATTTTACTCAAAATATACTCATGTTATAACTTAAATTTATGTTCATTTCAAATAAGAATTAGTGTGGATTTTAAATCTTTTTATAATACGCAAAGTAACTCACAATTAAATTAAATCAAATGCTTTCCAATTACAAAAACAGTAATAATAAAATATGATCATAATAGTTTCTTTAATAAATTAAATTTATCACACATTTGTTTATTAAATAGAACTTACAAAACATATTCACACTTAAAAACATCTGAACTAAATGTAAATACAAACTTTTTATAAAGCATCCAATGTATTTTTTGACTATTAACAATAATAAGGTAACATATTTCAAAATGTACATTACATGAATAGGTCTATTTATTGCTAACAAATATTTATATCCAATAATTTCACTTTTCATGCTATAAAACTTTTGTATAAAAACAAAGCAATTTTTGAAATTTTTCCAATCCACAACTGCTATTGCAAATTTGCTTCAATTTGTAATTAAGTCAATATCAATATACTAAGAAATATTAGAGAAATTAATCTTGTACAATATGGGCAGAGATACAGTATTAATAATTAGAAAATTGTAATTTTGTACATAAATATTTATAAAACTGAGATAACAAAAATGAGATTGGCAAATATTTGTAGAATATCCATGCATTTAGAGGACAGTTGATGTGCTCACAATAAGTGTGGGGTATTTGATAGAAAAATTCTTTTTTTTTGCTTTTATCATAAACAAAATGAAAAAAAAAAAGCAACAGAAAATTACCAGCAATAGAACACTTTAGTTTGTTTTACCATACACTTTTAAATATGCATAATATTAAACTTCTGGGCACAATTTAAAATAAAGTAAAAAAAAATTAGCAATGAATCTTTAGATTTTTAAAGAATGAACATAAACATAACTTAAGCCCTATTTTTAACTTACAGTGTTGAAGTTAAAAAAAATATATATGTATTGTGCATTTGGAATTAGCTTTTATTTTTAAAAAATGCAACACAGCCAAATTTGAGGAACGTGTAAAGTTTGATTAAGTATTAGATGTGATATATAATTTAAAAAAAAATAATATTTAAATGTAAAAAAAAATTTTTAAACACTTTCAAAGAACAGCAGATAAATTTTAAAAATAAGTAACTAATCAAATATTTTGGAATTCTGAAAGAAACCATGATAATGTTCTGGTGTAAATAAATATAAATTTTCTTTTTTTAGTAGTATGTGTTACATACTACATCAACATTGTTTGGTTTTTTTTTTCATTTCCAGTATGTATTCACAAGAAATAAAACTGTCTGAATTCTGCACTGTTGATTACTAGACTTAAGTTGTTGCCATTTTCTTGGTGATTAATAAGCCCTCTTAGTTTTAATACTTTATAGATTCAATCATTATTTTCTTCTTGA